GGGAATTTTAAGAAATTGCCAAATGGAGAAATGTAAGATTTGCATATACCTGGTTGATGATATGTTTACGAAAGTTACCCATTTACTTGTGATAGATGGTTTTTGACTAGGCTATGGATTAGTATTGTCAGTAAAATAAAGAAATAGGTTCAATAAAAGCTGTATGATAAAAACAGGTGAAGAAAAAAAAGAAAAGAGGATATATAATATATTATATATATATATATATATATATATATATATATATATATATATATATTATATATATATGTATATATAATTGTGTGTGTGTGTGTGTGTGTGTGTGTGTGTGTGTGTGTGTGTGTGTGTGTGTGTGTGTGTGTGTGTGTGTGTGTGTGTGTGTATGTGTGTGTATCTTTATATATGTATAAATATGGACACGCACACACGCACGCACGCACACGCACACACACGCACCCACCTCACACACACACACACACACACACACACACACATATATGGATAATTCTTGAACCTAAATTAACATCTACTTGAGACCAAAATCCATTAAACATAAAAAAAAAGTCAGCAAACATCTGCCATGTATATGTCTGGTTTCATGTTTGATGGCAAATCCATAGGGAGGTCCATTTCAAGGTTATCGGAATGGGTCTATGTGTAATGGAGGTTTGTCCTTTTGTTGGATTCCTGGAGACAGGAGAGTCACAGTGAGCACGTGAGTGGCTGTCGATCTATATTGCCTTCTCTTGTTTTAATAATATTTTATTCTTCTCTTTTTACAGCCAGCCTGTTCAGAATTTACCATTGAAGTTATTACAGCCCAAAGAAATACATGAAGGCATCTGGGGAGGTGAAGCTATTATCAAAGGGTTTTATAAGAGAAAGCCGTAAGTAAATCATGATATATTATGGTAGAGATAGATAGCTGTAACTTTGAAGAAATATAGTATTGCACTCTTCATAAAGATGTAATATAAAGCTCAGTTTAGCATTATTGGTTTGTTATATTGTATAGGTACTGTAACGTTTAATTAATGATGACTTTTGATCAACCTGCAGATATGTTCGCCGTATGCCACACTATTGGGTCCCGACTTTGAAGAAAACGGTTCTGTACTCGGAAATATTGGATAGGTATATGAATGTTACTGTCACAGAACGGACGCTCAATCTTATAGATGAAAATTATGGCTTTGACAATTACATCTTAAATGTAAGTATTTTTCCTTTTTGTGGTTGTTAATCCACTTTATATCCCTATATATTTTAAAACTGTGCTTAGTGGTTCTACCATGTTGTTGAATAAGAGTGTTGAAGTAATCGTTGCTCTTCATAGAATCCAGTGTCCAGAAATATGACAAAGACTCATTTGAAAGACGACGAAAGTACCCATGATGATATATATATATATATATATATATATATATATATAGTAGAACACACACACACACACACACACACACACACACACACACACACACACACACACACACACACACACACACACACACACACACACACACACACACACACACACACACACACACACACACACACACACACACACACACACACACACATTCATAGTACACAAAAGGTCATGTAAGATTTTAAAGTTTAGGCTTGAATTGATGTTCATCAGGTAACAGAAGGTGAATAATAAATGTGAAAGCTTAATAAAATATGACTAGTGATATTAAAATCATTGATCTTCACTAAACTTTTTCTGGAAAAATGGAGAATACAGCAAATCTTTATAAGAGGTGCATATCTGCTATATCTAGTTTCTTGATATTAAGTAAATCTGCCTTAACCCATCTGACACATTTGGCATCTATTCTTACCGAACAACGTTAGGCACTATAGCTTGCCAGTCCCACACTATCAGCTTATGGGAGTGTTTATCTCCTCTAGTAGTCTCAACAATTGTATGGTTAAGCTTTATGGCACGGGCACGTAAACTACAGAACAAGCCAGACGCAAATGGGGGAAATGCCGATCGGCACCAACAATCCCGTCTGTGTGGCCACTAGTCTAAAAGATAATTCCATGGCAAATGAGTTGATGGGATTCACAAAGTATGCAAAGTTGTCATGATTGTCTTATGTTTTCCATTCTCACATTGCAGACTCCACCAGCTGATCTCATGTCGGAATTAGCAGTGAAGTTGCGGAGGGAAATGCTGCTTAGCTTGGCTCAGGGGACACTGCATCCAGACAACCCTGCAAAGAGGAAAGAGTTGCTGAATAGATTTGAGAAACATATCATTCCGGTGAGTGATGGATGAGTAGTATATTAACAGTGTTTTCAATTGTTTTCCCCTTTTTCATCTTTTCATTATGTGAATTAGAATTTTTATTTTTTGTCTCTTGTCATCATCTGAGTATATGATCTCATTGGTATATGTGACTGATCCATGTTTATGGAAATATTGTATGTGTGTTTATGGTTGTTTTGCATTATTTGAATGTTTAGACTTCTTATTTTGGAGATAGGCATGATTTGCATTCACACACACACCCATATATACATACATGCATACAGCCATGCACATATATAACTTCATACATGGTCAACATGTCAGTAATATATAGTAGCTACAGTAAAGAGTTTTCATTGCATTTCCTTGCACATGACCTTTAAAAAATTAATATGTATAGCACATTCTACAAACAATAGCATTCTATCTAGAACCATGTCCCCAAACACAGAATTATATTATCATATTATATTACAGCATATGGGAAAATGAAGGGTATTTTAAGGAATACATTACAAAGTGTTCTAGTAAACTTTCTAGTTGTATTGTTGAAAAACAAGTTGCAGGAGCGATGATGTATCATAGGAGCCGACCCAGGCTGCCAGCCCGCCACTCTTACCAGGCTAATTAGCCAAATGCTTTCATTGAAAGAGTACATTAAAGTAATCATTTTCCTTAAAGATGAAAGATAGTAAGTATTTGTCTTAAATTACATTATGGAAGCATTTCAGTTTGTGCTACAAAGAAATATTAAAAAGGGGTTGGGGAAAGAGGTAAAAATTATAACCTTATAGTATTAAGTTATTTGTTTTTATATGTATATTAATGCTTATGAAAAGTTGCATGTAATGCACACTTACCCACAAACAATAATTAAAATCAAAATACATATCTGTCTATTTATCTCTATCTCTATCTATATATATCTCTACATATTGCTATCTATATATATCTAAATATATTTATATCTATATTTGTCTATCTATCTATATTTATATCTATATTTGTCTATCTATCTATATTTATATCTATATTTGTCTATCTATCTATCTATCTATCTATCTATCTATCAATTTATCTATCTATCTATCTGTCTATATATATAAAAAAAAATTCCTCATATATTCCATGTCTCAATGACACCCAAGTGACTTCAGTTCCTCTGGTTTATTAGGTTGAAGAAGCTGAATGGTATGGACTGAACACGAAGGAAGCAGCAACAAAGCAAAAGTTGATTGAGGAGAAGGCCAGTGCTCCCGTTCCACTGAAAGAGGCCTTCAGACAAGAGTTCATTGAATATCTGAAGACGAACAAGGTGGATATGGAAGAAATTAAAGGCGAGATAACTGAGAGGTAAGTTTTGCGGTTGGTTTTAAGGGGATTGCTTGTGTATGCATGTGTGCGAGTGGAGTGAGAGTGAGTGAGTGAGTGAGTGAGTTTGGAGTAATTCTAGATATTTATTCATATTTTGATAAGTGAGAAACTGCTCATGAGAATATATTTTTTTTTTTATGAAAGGAAAGAAATTTGATTAAAATTCATGTTTTTTGTTAATATGATTTTTTTTCTTCTTCCAGCACCTCTGGCAGTAATTGGATATCTAGTCTCAATCCATTTGGTAAAAAGTGAAGAATAGAATTATTGTCACTGTATAGTTTATCTGTCAATTCCATTTGATCTTGTACATAGATAGAGGTCTTGAAATAAATGTTTGATTTTTCCTACATTCTTTTTTTTTACATCCAATGTGCTAAAAATGAATATGCTCCTAGTTTACGTAACATGACCTACGCTCTGTGTACTACTTCTCCCTCTGTCTCATGCTCCTTCCTCTCCCTTTCCTCTTCAGACCTGAAAATGAACTCAAGGAGGATTTTGACTGTTGTCTCACCTTTTAATTAATAAACCTAGCTTATCTGTAATGGGCTTTCCTACCATAATATCAACAATAAAGTGGGTTCTGCCATTCATAACAATAAATGCACACATGTATGCACACTCAGACAATGTAACAGGTTCTGCCATTCATAACAGTAAATGCACACATGTATACACACAGACATTGTAACAGAATTCCACACACAGAGACATACACAGACACACACACATGTACACAAATTTGTCCTTGTATCTTTATTCCCCATACATAATTATAAAACTGTTACAGAAAAAGGAGCCATTTAAGGATGAAATAGGCACATTTACTCCATTTAACTAGACTAGTTACAAGTTGCACTGTCAAGGGTTTCTTTTGCTTCTTTTACTTTCTTGAAGGTTCTAGAAAAGGTTTTCACACAGGTACTGCAGTGATAGATCATTATTAAGGTTCTTACCATACTACATAAAAAGGATTATGACAGAAATTTTTTAACTACAGAGGTTTTGAGATTGAAAGATATCAGATTGATTATAAGCATATATTGATTTTTCTACAGAAATTAAGAAGAAATATGAAGGGAGAAAATCAATTTATGCAAAGTAAATAAGCTTATATATCTGGCAACAGGAGTTTCCAAGCATCTATGGTAAATAGAATATTTTTTGGTAAGATGAACATTGAGACATGCTGTTATATTAGTTGTTATCCCTATGGCTCCTCCAACAGACAGTGATACTTGTTCAAACTAATCCTCCCAATACCTTACTCATTGTTGTCATGGTGGGGTTTAGGAGACGGAGACAGGAACCCAATGTAGGCAATTGCTTCTACCTTGGAATTTAGCCCTTGTCTCGATTAATTTTGCTTGATCTTTTCTTTTCCTCTTTTCCTCTTCCATATCTTCTTCATCCCCCTACTTCTGTCCCATTCCTAAGGTGTGAGAGGTGTGCTGAAAGGCTGGCTTTATGTCAGTCATGAATGGTCTCCAGGAGCCATGGGCACGGTATTCCCTTGGTAAATTGCCTGGCCCTTACCCCTTATGAGGACCCTAGTGAGTAGACTGTTTCTTTTCCCCATTTTATTCAGGCTCCCCAGGCCCAGTCATGAAGATTCTTTATCCTGAGGGATATTAAGGCTTACTCCTTCATCAACTATCCTATTTGATTTTGATGGTTTTCCGACCCATGCCCCTCCTTTGACCACGGCTCCGACCACTGATACTAATACCCCCTCCACAATGTTTACTGACAACTCTATCCATTCTGAACCATTCACCCAGGTTATTACTCAACCTCCAGAATGCACCCCTTCCTCTCTCCCAACATTCTCCTCTCCATCTCCTAATGCACAGTCTTCTTCAATGACTACCCCATCTTCCCTTATTACTACTCTTGATACTTATTGTCCTTCCCCCACACATAACCACTCCACTTCAAACCACCCCATCTTCCTCCTGCCCTCGTTCTTCTACTACCTCTGCAAACCTTTTGAATACTCCCTTTGGCCCAGCCAAGTGGGACTGATTCTTTATGATTTCCCCACAGCCCCCTATTCTGAGAATACCCTTCTCTTTCAACAGTGCCTCCAAAAACAAGTTTACAAAGTTGCCTTTTGAAGTCGCTCTGATCGTGCAAGCCTAGTCACAGTTACATCGGAATTCCAAGCTAGCGCACTAGCTACCCTAACTGACCTCACTGGCAAACCCATTCCTGTTGAATCTCATCTCTCCCTTAATACTTGCATTAGAACTGTTTCTAACCCCCCAACTGACTGTCCCATATATGATAAGAACTGGCCAGGCTGTGAAAATGACCTACTTACCTACCTTGCTGATTATGATGCAGTAGCAGTACAGTGCCACACTATCCCTCCCAGAGGTCAGCGTAAGTCCCATGTCAATATTGCCAAGATCATGAAGTTCATATTGGTGGATTGTCCTATTATGTCTGACCATATCGACCCCTATCCCACCAATGTCAGAAATGTTGACGTTATGGCCACCCAGCCAAACACTCGCTCCACAGCCCCTCAATGTGCTCAACCTGGTCATGACCGTTTAAAGTGCCCTGCTCAGCCACGTACATGCACCACCTATATCTCTGTCTGTCTATAACGTATTTTATAGGAGCTGCCTGGCCTATAAGCCCGAATGTGAGGTAGTAGTTCTCAGATTCAAACTAGGCCTCAATCTATATGAGCCTCTATATGAGCCTAGACAGGAAATCCATGACAAGATTTTCTCTCATGCAATTCCAAAGCGTCCTTCACTCTGCATCCCGCACCCCATCTCCACAAGATGTTTCTGCATCTTTCCCAGTATCTCTTCCCTCTACCCTGTACCATCCTATCTCTACCCTCCCAGTCAAATCTCTTTTCCACTCTAAATCCAGATACTCCAATCTCTACCATTTCGATACCTACCCTTCCTCCCCCTTACTTTACCTGTTACAAAAAACAACCTAAACGTTCTACTTTATCTTCGCCTTCCACATCCTCCTACACCATCCTCTTCCTCTGTTCTTCAAACATCTATCCCCTCCTCTCTTCCTCACAAGAGATCCTTTATTCCTCAGACCTCCCAACCCAAATCCCCTCCAGAAACTCTTAAGACATCCAAAAGTCCCTAGACATGACCCAAGAAAATGTGCGGCTCCTTCATCCACCTTCCAATCCCTCTATTCCTTTCCTAGTCCCTCTACATTCAAAGTATTTGCCGATATCCATCCCCCCTTCCCCAGCAAGTTCCCCCAACAAACCTTCCCAACAAACCCCATCTTCTCCATGCACACCATTCCATTTTCTCATTCCCATGCACACCATTCCCCTCCCCCAACAAACCCCAACAAACTTCCTTCCAACAAACCCCATCTTCTCCATACACACCATTTCCTCTTCGTTCTCCATTATCCATTATCCTTACCTCTCCCACCTGGATACTCACGTGAATCCTTTCTGTCACAACAGTGTCCTTCTCCTGATACTTTCCCTCCTGACGCTCTTCCTTATACTTCACCTCCTTTTCCAGTCCCCTTATCTCATCCCCCAGACTCTTCTTCTAATTCTCCAACTGTCATCTCTACCCGTATTACCCGTTGGTTATTTCATAGCAGCTCTTTAACCAGTTTTATCTTAAAACAATGTTACTACAACTTCCCCAACAACAGATACACCCCATTCCATCCAATCGCCCTCTACTCTTAACCCTTTCCTTTAGTAATCTCCGACTTACTTCATATGCATCTCTTCTTTTCCCTTTTTCCTATCATACTATCCTATAACACTTAACCTTTGATATTTAACACTCTTTATACTAATCGTTAACTCACTTACCCTTTTCACTACAATACTTTACCTTAGTGATGTATGACCTTAGATGTCTTGCGCATTTATTTGTTTCAACTATTAACCATTGTTCAAATTACAGAAGTAAGAATCCTAGGTAGGTTGTTGGGAACACCTTTTGTCGACTGTACATGAATTTATACTGTCTCTCTCTCTGTATCTCTTTCCCTTTCTTTCTTCTACTTTTTCTTTCTCCTACTTTCTGACTTTCTTTTCTCTCTCTCTCTCTCTCTCTCTCTCTCTCTCTCTCTCTCTCTCTCTCTCTCTCTCTCTCTCTCTCCTCTCTCTCTCTCTCTCTCTCTCTCTCTCTCTCTCTCTCTCTCTCTCTCTCTCTCTCTCTCTCTCTCTCTCTCTCTCTCTCTCTCTCTCTCTCTCTCTCTCTCTCTCTCTCTCTCTTTCAGTAGTTAAATGAAAAAGAACGAACGAATGAAAATATCAACAAAAAATAAGATAACTTAAATAACAGATGGAATATTTCAAATTCCCTTTTTAGGCTTTACCCCAAATAAATACGAGTAATTATCAGGTGTGTAAAAAGAACAGAAAAATAAATACCCAGTTTTAAGCCCCCAAAATTATGCAGAATAAACAGAAGTGCTCCGAAACGTAACGAAAAGAAACGCAAAAAATACGTGGCGGTAAAACTGGTAATTTTAGTAATAATTATGGACCTTATGACGACGTGGAAGGTTGTTTGAGATTGGTATATGGTAAAGGCTGCAGGTGATAATCAGCCGGTTTGTTAAAACTGTGCCAGACCCGACCCAATGAATTATCTTAAATACAGATACAGAAATATAGGCATACCTGTCTATATATCTGATAGATATACATTTAAAGTATCTATTTGCCGGGTTGATATGCATGTCTGGACTGATAAATATGCCTTTATTTCTTTATTTATGCATGTCAAATATACGAATATTCTAACAAACCGTCCGAATATTCTTTGGGTCGCCTCGCACACTTCTAACAAACCGTCCGAATGTCTCCAGTAGATTTTATTGTTTAATGATGAAGAAACAAATATAAATAACATCAATAATAGTACGCAGAGAATAAAAAAAGAAAAAAATGACCAAGCTGTTTCTCTTCTGATTATCTCATGGCTGTGCCTTGAACTTGAATGGAAAGAAAGTGAAAGCCTGGAAAGATGTTATCTCTGAGTATGGTGGTTGACAATGAACTTAGGTGATGAGAAAAAAAAATCCCGCTCTCTCTCTCTCTCTCTCTCTCTCTCTCTCTCTCTCTCTCTCTCTCTCTCTCTCTCTCTCTCTCTCTCTATATATATATATATATATATATATATATATATGTGTGTGTGTGTGTGTGTGTGTGTGTGTGTGTTGTGTGTGTGTGTGTGTGTGTGTGTGTGTGTGTGTGTGTGAAAATATGTAGAAGGAAATCAGATAATTGAAAATACTTCTATTGACGCGTGTATGTGTGCGTGTGTGTGTGTGTGTGTGTGTGTACGTGTGTATGTGCGCGCCCACGTGGCTTGCG